GTTGTTTCAGATGGGAGCATAAGTTTCATGCCTGTTATTCTATCTTGGCAAGAAGCATAAGTCTCTTGAAAGAGTTTTAGATAGGCGAATGACATATCATTCTGTAGATCATGCATTTTTAAAGGATAAGACTTAATGAAAGCAGAGCTGGGCGCGGTAACTCACGTCTGTAATCCCAGCACTTTGAGAGGCTGAGGTGGGAGGATCACTTGAGCCCAGGAGTGCAGGCCTAGCCTGGGCAACATGGTGTGAAACCCTATCTCTACAAAAAATACAAAAATTAGCTGGGTGTAGTAGCATGCACCAGTAGTCTCAGCTACTTAGGAGGCTGAGGCAGGAGGATCATTTGAGCCTGGAATGTTGAAGGCTGCAGTGAACAGTGATTGAGCCACTACATTCCAGCCTGGGCAACAGAGTGTGAGACCCTGTCTCAGAGAGGAAAAAAAAAAAAAGACTTAAAGTAGAGAGACTAATTAGAAGGCATTTGGGTTAGTTCAAATGACAGCCTAAGGTTGGTCATGGATGATGATAGTACAGAGGTAGGAACAATTTGAGAAATATTTAGGAGGAAGAATCTAGTTTAGGATTTCTAAAAGGGTATATCATAACTCATTTACATCTGAATCTCCTAAATGATGATAAATGAAGATTGTATGCTCCATTCCAAGTTTATGGAATCTGAATTTTTTTTGTTTTGTTTTGTCACCTAGGCTGGAGTGCAGTGGTGTGATCTCGGCTCACTGCAACCACCACCTCCCAGGTTCAAGCAGTTCTTCTCACTCAGCCTCCCGAGTAACTGGGATTACAGGCACGCGCCACCACACTTGGCTAATTTTGTATTTTTAGTAGAGACAGGGTTTCATCATGTTGGCCAGGCTGGTCTTGAACTCCTGACCTCAGGTAATTTACCCACCCAGCCTCCCAAAGTATTGGATTACAGGCGTGAGCCACTGCGCCTGGCCTGAATCTGGATTTTTAAGGATGAGGTTTAGAAATTTGTATTTTATTTCATTTTCTTCTTATTTTTTATTTTTATTTTTAAGAGACAGGGTCTCTTTTCCCCAAATTGGAGTGCAGTGGCTGTTCATAGGTGCAGTCTCACTACTGATCAGCATGGAAGTTTAGACCTGCTGTGTTTCTGACCTGGGCCCGTTCTCACCTCCTTAGGTGACCTGGTCGTCCCCTGCTCCCCTGAGATCACGATATTGATGCTAAACTTAATGCAGACACCTGAATGACATAGTGCACTACAACTTAGAACTCCTGGACTCAAGCAATCCTCCTCCCTCAGCCTCCCAAGTAGCTGGGACTATAGGCATGTGTGACTGTGCCTAGCTAGAAATTTGTATTTTAAACATGTACCTAGATTTAATGCTTATGAACACTAAAGTTTTATTTCTTTTAATTAATTAATTAATTTTTTAGAGACAGGGCCTCACTTGGTTCACCAGGCTGGAGTGCATTGGTGTGATCATAGCTTACTGTAGCCTGCAGCCTCAAACTCCAGGCCTCTTGCTTCCTGAGTAGCTAGGACTGCAACAGGTGCACACCACCATGCTCCACTAATGTATTGTGTGCATTTTTTTTTTTTCTATAGAGACAGGGTCTTGCCATGTTACCCAAGCTGGTCTCAAACTCCTGGCCTCAAAGTGATCCTTCTGCCTCGGTCTCTTAGAGAGCTGAGATTACCAGCATGAGCCGTCGTACCCAGCCCAAACACTATAGTGTTTTAGAAGAAACTGATGTAGTTTTTTCAAAGTCTGATCATCACTGGGAGCCCATACGTTGGAATGACCTGAAGTGCTTAATTGACAATGAAAATTTATGCATTTCTGTTCAGGCCTTCTGAATCTTAATTTAAGAGGTGATTGGGTCCAGGTATTTCTTAGACACACTAAAATTTGGGAGTCAGTAACCTGAAGTACTTCACAGATGTGATCTCTTTCGAACTTCACAATAACTCTGAGAGGTAGTAGGTAGGTATTATGTCTTTCGTTTTATAGATAAAGCACAGATAGGCAAAGTGACTTGTTCGTGGTGAAATAATTATTGATGACAGAGAATCACATTTCTGTCTCCTCCACCAAATCCTATACTCTTCCTACTCTCTTTCTGCTGACTGTGAAATAGGCTTATCTTTGAAAATCTATAGAAGGTAGCCAAGACACTGAACATGTGGTTCTGAGCAATTTAGGGAGCCAGAAAAAGGTACTCTTCTTTGATTATTGTACCAAATGAAAATTTGGTTCAGCTCTTTATAGCAAGTAACTGAAATCTTAATTATCTAGTAAAGGTGTTTCTGGGCTGGACGTGGTGGCTCATGCCTGTAATCCCAGCACTTTGGGAGGCCAAGGTGGGTGGACCACCTGAGGTCACGATTTGAGACCAGCCTGGCCAACGTGGCAAAACCCTCTCTCTACTAAAAGTACAAAAATTAAATGGACGTGGTGGCAGGTGCCAGTAATCCCAGCTACTTGGGAGGCTGAGGCAGGAGAATCACTTGAATCCAGGAAGCAGAGGTTGCAGTGAGCCAAGATTGCACCATCGCACTCCAGCTTGGGCAACAAGAGGGAAACTCCGTCTCAAAAAAAAAAGAAAAAAGAAAAAAAGAAAGGTATTTGTGTCTTTGACCGTATTTTAATGCTTTTTACAACTGACATTGAATTGAATGTCTCTTTCTTATAAAATCATTTAAAATCATGGTATAGTGCCCATATGTGGTATTTTCACTTACAACAAGAATCAGGTAATAAATATGACTCTGTTGTATGACCTTCCTTTTAAATTTTTTCCAAGCTCTTATAAAACTAAAAAAAATTTTGCCTGAAAATTTAGGGATTGTGGTTAGCTTTGAACATCATTGTTTCATTTTAATAGTAAGTTGTGTGGCTTATATCCTGGTTATATCACTAGAGCTGTATCTTCTAGTGAGATTTATGTAGTCTTTTGAAGTGATTACATGTGTGCTGTGAATCTGAGATCATGTAATCTATTTAATACAGTAGTACCAGTGTTAAGACTGCAAGAAGTAGGAAAAGTAATTCTTTCAGTGAAGATTGGTTTTGGGTTTGCTTTTGGAACGCTTGAATAGTCAATGAATTTTATTAGTACATGAAAACAAGCAAAGCTCTGTTCCAAGGGAATTAATAAGATGGCTTTAGGAATAGGACTTACATAGTTTGCTTTCCATTTTGTATGCTTTTTAAATGACAAAATGCTGTTTTTTAAACTTCTAGAAGTAAGTTACTGTAGTTAAATAATTCAAATGAAAAAATTACTGTGTATTGTCATAATTCAAAGAAGTGTTTCTGCTGCAGAAAGCGTATAACAGTTTTGCAGAATGCTTAAGTTTGAAATGTATATTGAATGAAGTGAAGAACACAGTATAGGGGCTACAAGAGTTTTGGCTAGTTTAATTTCCTTGCTTTTGGTACAAGAGAGGTCATGACAATTTTTAAACTTAAAAATTAGTTAGATCTGTGTTTTGTTTTTTTTTCTTTGTCACCCAGGCTGGAATGCAGTGATGCAATCAGGTCTCACTGCAGCTCTAAGGATCCTCCCTAGCAGCTGGGATTACAGGTGCACACCACCATACGTGGCTACCTTTTTCTATTTTTTGTACAGATGAGGCCTCACTTTGTTGCCCAGGATGGTTTCAAACTCCCAGGCTCAAGTGATCCTTCTGCCTTGGCATCCCAAAGTGTTAATTTTTTTATGGTTTTACTTATATATTTTTAATGTTTGAAAACGAATAAGGAATTGTGTTTGAGGATAGATAATAGTTTTTTAATTGCTCTATTGTTAATGAAAGTTCTCACTGAGAATATCTGAATGGTTGACAACCCTAATAACTTTATCCAGAAAGCATGTGTAAGGTTATCTGCATTTTCATTAAAAAAAAATTTTTTTTTCCAGATATGGTTTACTCTGTTGCCTAGGTTGTAGTGCGGTGGCACGATCATGGCTCACTGCAGCCTCAATCTCCTGGGCTCAGATGATCCTCCCACCTCAGCCTCCCAAGTAGTTGGGACTACAGACACACACAACCATGCCTGGCTAATTTTGTTCATTTTTTTTTTGTAGAGAAGAGGGCTCACTATGTTGCCCATGCTGGTCTCGAATGCCTGAGCTCAAGGGATCCTCCTGCCTTGACCTCCCAAAGTGCTGGGATTACAGGCATGAGCCACCATGCCTCGCCAGGTTATCTCTATTTTCCATGTAGATTTGTACTTTTTACTGTGTAGTGGAGTGGTACAGCATGATGAAACGTTTTAGAATGCCATTCATACTCTGCTTTCTTTGATATGTATGAATGAACATTCTTTTGTAGCTCATTTTTTTCACCAATAAACTGGTTAAAATTATTTAAAATTCTGTACAGTGCTTTTGGTCTTCATTATAAGTGTGTGTATCTATTTCTCAGAGTTGTAATCATCACCAAGTCTGTTTTAAGAAGCTTACCTTTAAGGAATGTTTGTGCAGCTACATCTCAGTTTATTTTAAATAACACTTATTTTCTGTTTACTTCCAAGATTACTTGAGAAAGGTATCAGATGTTTAAAGTGACACTTAAAGGACAGTCATTATCTTTTTTAACTTCATTTTTAAGCATTATAGATTTAGTCCCTAAAATATAAAATACACAAAAAAGTACTTTTGTATTAATGGAGAGCAATTGTAGACTTAAGGAAAATGACATATATCTATCTTGGTAGTAAGAAAAGGAACCTGAGGAGCTCTTCAATTTGTAAGGATTTAAGTTTAGAATTAATTTAGAAAACTTGTATGTGGGTGCTGTCTGAGAAGAACTTGGAAGTGTTAGCCAATCATCTTAGTTTGTTGAAGACACATATTTCACAGCTAAATGTAAGGAATTATTTGTGAAGTTTAGCAGAAAATGAAGTGTGCTATATAAGTGTTTGGAAATATTACCACTTTTATTCACAAATTTGTAAACAGTAACACATCTATAGTGATTATATTATGGTTTCCCTTCACAGATATCAAGTTGTTCTAGTACGACCATATAAATAAATAATACCTGAAGTCTCAGTGTAACATGGACAATTAACAGTGATGACAGATAAATACAGACGCGTGGGGATCAAATACTAGGCGAAACGCTTTTTAAAAGGTAAGAAAATAATGTAATCTTAATTAAGGCCAAGTGGGGTTTAGTTAGAAGTAATTGATTGAAGTTTCTTTTTCAGTGTATCAGGCTTTTACAAAACACTGCAGGATCCTGTTTATCTTAATGCCAATAGAGCTCAGCTGTAAGTATCAGCTCTGTGAAAATAACAGTTGCAGATGTTCTTGTCTGCTAAATATCGTAGTGGATAATGTTCCTATAGTGAACTCTATTCAAATAGAGTAGTTATGTGGTTGATTAGAACTTGATAGACTGCTACTAGGGCACATTCCAGTATGCTCAGAGATATACTTTAAGTTGTAGATGATCTTTGCTTTTGATGATTGCTACTACCATCACACACTGTAGAACATAATGTTTTGCCATGTTTGTGAAAGGCTTCAGTGTTTGGTACAAAGGAGTTGTCACTTGGAGTCTGTTATAAGAAGAGTAGATTTTCAAGTCAAGGGTTACTTTTTGTAGGATCATGTTTTCACTGAGCTTCTCCCCATGTTAACTTAGAACATTTCTTAGTGTACTGTAGTATTAAATGGTTATTAGACAATTTTCCTACCTAGTGGTTTTTAAAGCATTTCCAGGGCATGTTTGGGAGAGATGGCATCTATAGATATTAGATATTGTTAGCCCTATTCCCTTTCTAGCTGACTACAGCAGTAACCTATTTTTACTAGGCAGTAAGTCTGCCTAGTCATTACAAGATTTTGTAATTATATCAGTCTTTAAGTTGTAATCCTTCCCCCAAAATGTATCATTATAATATCTAGTTTTGTGCTTATAATAAAGTGACAGTTTCTATCATAAACATCTACTGGTCTTTTTTTAGTCGTCTTCCTTGTTTTCAGATGGACACTCATAGTAACCCATTTAGCCAGATTGTACCTTTTTTTTTTTTTTTTTTTTGAGACTGAGTTTCGCTCTTGTTGCCCAGGCTGGAGTACAATGGAGTGGTCTTGGCTCACTGCAACCTCTGCCTCCCAGGTTCAAGCGATTCTCCTGCCTCAGCCTCCTGAGTAGCTAGGATTACAGGTGTATGCCACCATGCCTGGCTAAAGTTTTTGTGTTTTTAGTAGAGATGGGGTTTCACCATGTTGGCCAGGCTGGCCTCGAACTCCTGACCTTGTGACCCATCTGCCTCGACCTCCCAAAGTGCAGGGATTACAGGTGTGAGCCACTGCACCCAGCCTGTACATTCTTTGAAAAGTATATCATAATAAATTATTATAAAGTAAAAATTGACCAGACCGTTCTAAGAAATGAAATGTAATTAGATCAATTAAATTATCTGGCGAATTGGGTACTAAAACCGGAAAATCCTTGTTGTTCTTGTTCTTGTAAAAAATACATATGCCAAAAATAATAGAAATGTCCTTTTGTAATTGAATTTTATAGCACTTTAATAAGCATCCAGGTTATCCTATGGGTATAGAAGATTTGGTTATTTGTGTGATTCTTTCATGCATAACCTAAATGGTTATGTATACTTGATGTTGAGAATTTGGAAAGTCCTCTAGGACCAGAGTAAGAGATGATATTATAAATTCTGTTATGAGAAATGTTTTCAAGGGCAATCTTTAGATCACTGCCAAAAAATACTGCCTTAGAGCAGTGTCTAGAAAAGAGCAAGTCACATTTTGACTCAGTTCAAACTAATATTGAGTTGTAAGGATTTGGTATATTTCAGGATCTTTTTGGTTTGCTTTTGATGATTTCTAAAAATCCTGTTTCAGTTTCTTAGTATCCTCGAGGCTACGGAGTTACCAAGAAGCGTGAAAGATGTCACTGTGAACAGATTCTGTACCTTTATTTCTTCTTATTATAGAAGGAGTAAATCTATTAGCATACATTCATCATCTTCTTTAATCCTTTTTTTTCATTATTTTATTTTAAAGAGAGAAATTTAGGAGGTTCTAGTATTCTCCATGGCTGAAGCTGAGAGAGTCTGAAACCCTGATGCTTAAGCTCCATTCTAGATCATAGCTCCAACTCCTTCAGGATATAAGGAAAAGAGATTATATTTCCACAATGATAGATCTTTGGTTGTACAGGTAAGTTATTTAGTTTTGCAGTAGTGAAGACAACTATAGTTTGACTTCCTTTTTTTTTTTTTTTTTTTTGAGATGGGGAGATTTGTTATTTTTCCATACATTCTCTGTGTGGCAGATTGTAGTTTGGCTGGCTGTTCATAGGAGTATGGAGCTACAGGGAATGGATTAGGAATGAAATATTCCTCCCCCCCCCTTTTTTTTCAACAGGGGTATAAATGAAGTGACTGATTATGTTGGAATTTTTGACTCAGGAGGCATTATGAAATTCCTTGACTTCCTTTTCCCGATTGTCTTTTGAAGTGTGTTTTCATTTACTTTTGTCTGTCTGACTGTCTGCTTGTCTGCCTGCTTACCTACCTACCTACCTACCTACCTACCTACCTACCAATCTACCGACCATCTGTCATATATCAGTTTCTATTAATGAGAAAGAATTAAGAAGTCTTTTTATATAAGACAATACATAATAGAGTTCCCAGACTTCAAAGAGGTGACTATTTAAGAACCTTAAGTTGAATTGCATGGGTGGGTTACCAGTTATGCTTCTACTTTTAACATTATAGATATGGTGGTAATTGCACTGCTGAGGTATTGTCTTAAAATAATTACATGACAAACATGGCCTCAACATTATTAAATAGTTTGTTTATATTCTAGACAACTAGAGAAAGAATCATACTGGTAACCCTTTCCAGTTGCATTTGTTCTTTTTTCCTTTTACTTTGGTTTGTCTACATGAATATATACTGGTATCATGACCAGTTTACTAAAAATTGTTCACTTAATAAAACTAAATATTATGATAATAAATATTAGCTAGAACATTGGTGTGATGGAAGATTGCCAGCTCCTCAATTCCCAAAATAAACTTTACTATTTTGGTGATTATAGTAGGAAAAAAAGCTTATAGGCAAGGTCTTTGAAATATCTTTTTGAAATTTCTTTCTCTTAAGTAAATAACTAGAGAAGTGTGTCATTAGGTGGGCCTTTTTTGTTTAATAATTATTATTCCTTTTAGTTCTTATTGATACAGTTCTACAGATAGATGATCACAGGAGCTGGAAATTTATGACCTGAAACATAGCTGATAATGCTTCAAAGAGTGTTTTTCAGAATGCTATAGTTATATTTGGGTAACAGTAGATTCAAATTTATGGGAGGGCAATTCAGCAGCAAATATGTGGGTAGGATATGTGAAATCATAGGTAGGATTCAGGGCTTAATATGAATGGACAAGTTGAAATTTGGTTGACTGGTCCTTCTAAGATATGACCTCCAATAGGATGATAATTCATGAAGGTGGGGAAGAGAGGAAGGGAGTCTGGTTAATTCTAGTTACTGACCACACTCTCTTTCCTCTGTATTCTAGAAAGTGCCACTATTCATTATTTGGTAGATAACGTATAGGAAAAACTCCAGTGTAGTTGTTAGATTGGGTTTTGCCCGTATTAATATGTTAATTAATGGCTTCCCTTATTTCTAAAACTAGAGTGATTGCGTTTCTAACTTCAGATGGATGCTGTCTAAGGTTTTCACCATATACCTCTTATTTCGTTAGCCTACAGGGGTATTTTCTGAGATAATTTGTAAATAAGTTCATTTTTATTCCTTAATATTTGGCAGAAATATAATTTTGTACTCTAAGCTTCATTGTATTCTTAAGAAACTTTTTGTGATGCAGCTAAAATGAGGAAAACAACTGCTTTAGTCTATAATATTTTGCTAAGCATGACGAAACAATGTTGAGACTTGGTTGAGATAATGCAGACTTTTTAGTTTTTATTTTCTAAGAGATAGGCTCTTACCATTGTCCAGGCAGTTCTCAAACTCCTGGGCTCAGGTGATCCTCTTGACTCAGCCTCCTGAGTATCTATTGACTGTAGGTGCCCCCACTTCCCTGCCCCTGCACCTGGCTAATGTAGGCATTTTTGGTCCCCTTTTATTAACTGAATTTTGCATTCAGTTTATTAGGTGATCATAGAAAGTATGTGCCTTTTATATATGCCTATCCAAAATAGAAAAGATAAGAAGAAAAAGATTAGAACAGAAAAAAATTCATCAGAGGGAAGATTAGCAAAATTTTGTTTAACTCTGATCTTAATAATTTTAACCAGTTTATTACCTCAAGTGCACATCACATGTTAATTTCAGGCAAGATATTTTCATAGTCTTCCATTTGGTGCTTCCTTGGCCTTATGTATTTTTTTTTATTATTAGGATCCAGTAAGAAATTAAAGGATATATTATAAATAGGTCTAATTTAGTTTGAAACTTGATGACTCTTAGTAGAATTCTGTCTGACTTCAGTAGCCTAAGGCAGTGTTTCTCAAACCCTAATACATATATGAGTCACCTAGGAACCTAATTCACTGGTAGGTCTGGGGCAGGGCCTCATATTCTGCATTTCTAACAAGCTTCCAGGAGATGCCCATGATTGAGTTGCAAGAGTCTGAGGTATCACAAGGATCCTTGTTATAAAACAAGTTCTCTTTCAATACAGCCCAATAGCACAGAATTTGAGAATCCTAAAACTAGGGCTTTGTTCTAATTATTGAGTGAAATGAAAGCATTTTTAGGGTGTAGAAGAAATGAAAAGAGACTTAATCTTTTATATTAATCAGTGTTTTCATATTTTATTTAACTTTCATATTAATCAGTGTTTTCATATTTTAATCAGTGGAATGGTGAAGAAGTAAGATAGGCCTCACTATATGTGATTTTTTTTTTTTTTCATTCAAGACAGGGCCTTGCTCCCATCACCCAGGCTGAAGGGCAGTCACATCACTGCACCCTTGACTTCCCAGGCTCAGGTGATCCTCCCACTCAGCCTCCCTAGTACCTGGGACTACAGGCATGCACCATTACACCTGGATAAATTTTTTGTATTTTTAGTAGAGATAGGGTTTCACCATGTTGCCCAGTTTGGTCTCGAATTCCTGGGCTCAAGTGATCCCACTTACCTTGGTTTCCCAAAGTGCTGGGATTACAGGCTTGAGCCACCATGACCAGCTTATAGGTGATATTTTTTAGCAAAAAATATATGTATAAAAAACAGGTTCTTAGTACTACTAATAATAGGTTCATTTCATCCAAAATAGTCTCTCTTTGAGAAGTTTGTACTGCAAGGCAGATTTTGCTCCCATTCAGATTGGTGTGGAAAGAAGAGGTTAAGGAAGTCTTATTATTGATTATTGGAATAATTTAAGAGGTTTATAGGCCCTTAATTGGGATTGTATTTTGAAAAGTAAAGATTAACAGATTCTTTTGTGTGTTGATAAAGTATTTCTATTGCCAGTATTATTTTTGAACCATAAATTATGAGTATAATTAAATTTGCATTAAAGATAATATGGATTAGATTTCATAGGCATTTTATTTATTAAATTAGCTTAGTCTTATGCTTTTTTGTGTGTTTACATACATATTTAATACTTAAAAATAAGTAATCTTAATATTTTAGAGTGCCAGATTTGGATACATGAAACAAATAAGTTGCTTTTCATATATTTCAATTTATGTTCTTTTCTTTTTGTTTTTTTTGAGACAGAGTCTCGCTCTGTTGCCCAGCCTGGAGTGCAGTGGTGTGATCTCGGCTCACTGCAACCTTTGCCTCCTGGATTCAAGTGATTCTCCTGCCTCAGCCTCCCGAGTAGCTGGGATTACAGGCATGTGCCACCATGCCCTGCTAGTTTTTTGTATTTTTAGTAGAGATGGGGTTTCACCATGTTGGCCAGGCTGGTCTCGAACTCCTGACCTCAAGGGATCCATCTGCCTCAACCTCCCAAAGTGCTGGGATTACGGGGATGAGCCACTGTCCCTGGCCAGTTTGTGTTCTTCTAAAACATCATTTGAAGTTTAACTTAAATGTTTTATAATTAAAAGTGGAAAATTATGGGACACTCAGTGTTTGTTACCCATGAAAAAAACAGAAAGATTGTAATCTTAATGATAATATATTAGCAAATGAGAATTAAATGTCAGCAGTTCTTTTAAGGAATCCCCAAAACAATAAAAGTTTACTACTGTAAGAAATGTGTTTCTAAGTTCTGATTGGTGTCTCGTACTTATTGTTCACTTGATTGCTATGAAATTCTCTAGAACAAATAACCATGCTTTAATTCTAGGGCTAGTTTTGTGATTCTTACAAGATTTTAAAAAATTGTTAATTAAAAATTTAAAAGTATGCCATACTCTGAGACAACACTAAACTCAGCCAACTTAAATATTTACAGGGTACTTTCTCACTTGTCAGCAGGCAGGAACAGGGAGATTATTTCCTTTAGTGTTTCTTTTTTATATGTGGTAGCATGTTGCTGTGTCTTCTGTAATTCTTCCAGCCTTTCCACTATTAGATACTTCTTGTTGAAGCAAAGGAGAGATTGTGTTTGATTTTTAGGGAAAGGAGTCAGAATGGCATTTTGAGGTTTGCATGGGAAGGGAGACTGTTGATGACCAAAGGCAGGAGGAAGGGACTGTGAAACTTTGCACTATTGCTACCACTGACCTCTTTCTCTAACTAATCATCCTGCATCTCACTCAAAGTTAGGCGGTAAAATGACAGGGTACTTTGTGAAAACTAAACAGAAGAGGAGCAGGGGAATAGAGACTTCAAATGTTAACAGCTCCTTTATTTTGCTTGATGGGAGAGCCTTTGGAAAATATCACCAACTCACTAGTTTACCCAAATGGATCAATCCAGGCATTTTCTATATCCCTTACATTTCTGTCATGTAAACCTCAAGCATCCACACCAGAATACCTTTTCATCTCCCAAACCACACATTAAAACTGGCACTGGCATTTGCTATACACAGGAGTGCGAAGAAGGAAAGGGTGGGATTATATGAATAGTCTTGATTTCTTAAATGTAAGTATTTGCTTCAGAGGCTTCTTTCCCATTTTTCCGGTCTTTGGAACAGTACCTTTCACCTACTAATTTATGGCTTTATTTCTAGAGATTAGGAAGGCTTGGGTTTGCTTTGTTTTGTTCTTAGCCAGTGCAAGCTAGCATTTTGATTTTTATCTATTTAGTTATGAAAAATACTGCAAGCAAAATTTTTTGGATGCCAGATTATTAGTTATTAAGGGATTTGATCTGAAACTCATTTTGGCAAAAGTAAATTAAAAAGAGGAGAGCCTGCCTTTCTATATACCAGGGACATTTTGAAAGAACACGAGAAATGATTGGAATAGTTTTTGAAAGATAGCTGCTATATAGGTTCAATATTATTATTTTATTTATTTATTTATTTATTTATTTATTTTATTTGTTTTTGAGACGGAGTCTCCCTCTGTCGCCGAGGCTGGAGTGCAGTGGCATGATCTCAGCTCACTGTAACCTGTGCCTCCTGGGTTCAAGTAGTTTTCCTGCCTAAGCCTCCTGAGTAACTGGGATTACAGGTGTGTGCCACCACACCTGGCTAATTTTTGTATTTTTAGTAGACACAGGGCTTCACCATGTTGGTCAGGCTGGTCTTGAACTCCTGACCTTGTGATCCTCCTGCCTCAGCCTCCCAAACTGCTGGGAATACAGGCGTGAGCCACCATGCCCAGCCGAAGATTATTATTTTAATGACCAAAATGAAATCACATCTTTAGGATAGATATTTTCTGGGTATTTTATGCCTATCTGAGAAGCAAATACACAGTGAGGCAGGTATGGTCTCTGGAGTCCTGCCCTTCCACTTACTAGAATTGTGATCTTGGATAGATTACTCAGTGTGCCTTAATCTTACTCGTGAAGTAGGGATGATAGTAGTACCTATCTGAGTTGTTATGAGACTTAAGTGAGTTAATATATGTAAGTTATATAGAAAGACTCATGGAACATATTAAGTGCTGTATACTTGTTAGCTATAATTTATATCATTATTGGAAATGTTAAAGAATTTTTGTCACATAATTTAATATTGGCAGTTATATAGACCGTTATATAGACCATAACGTCCGAGTATACTTGGATTAAAAAAGTTATAGCTTTATACTTTCGTTCTAGGTATATTAACTGTTACCTTTTTCTCATTATTTTGTTTACATTTTTGAAGGTTTCCCAATGAGTGGATCATGATGACCGTATTGTAGGGACTTGCCATAGTATGGCTGCTTCCCGATCTACTCGTGTTACAAGATCAACAGTGGGGTTAAACGGCTTGGATGAATCTTTTTGTGGTAGAACTTTAAGGAATCGTAGCATTGCGCATCCTGAAGAAATCTCTTCTAATTCTCAAGTACGATCAAGATCTCCAAAGAAGAGACCAGAGCCTGTGCCAATTCAGAAAGGAAATAATAATGGGAGAACCACTGATTTAAAACAGCAGAGTACCCGAGAATCATGGGTAAGCCCTAGGAAAAGAGGACTTTCTTCTTCAGAAAAGGATAACATAGAAAGGCAGGCTATAGAAAATTGTGAGAGAAGGCAAACAGAACCTGTTTCACCAGTTTTAAAAAGAATTAAGCGTTGTCTTAGATCTGAAGCACCAAACAGTTCAGAAGAAGATTCACCTATAAAATCAGACAAGGAGTCAGTAGAACAGAGGAGTACAGTAGTGGACAATGATGCAGATTTTCAAGGGACTAAACGAGCTTGTCGATGTCTTATACTGGATGATTGTGAGAAAAGGGAAATTAAAAAGGTGAATGTCAGTGAGGAAGGGCCACTTAATTCTGCAGTAGTTGAAGAAATCACAGGCTATTTGGCTGTCAATGGTGTCGATGACAGTGATTCAGCTGTTATAAACTGTGATGACTGTCAGCCTGATGGGAACACTAAACAAAATAGCCTTGGTTCCTATGCGTTACAGGAAAAATCAGTAGCTGAAAATGGGGATTCGGATACCCAAACTTCAATGTTCCTTGATAGTAGGAAGGAGGACAGTTATATAGACCATAACGTGCCTTGCACAGATTCACAAGTGCAGGTCAAGTTGGAGGACCACAAAATAGTAACTGCCTGCCTGCCTGTGGAACATGTTAATCAGCTGACTACTGAGCCAGCTGCAGGGCCCTTTTCTGAAACTCAGTCATCTTTAAGGGATTCTGAGGAGGAAGTAGATGTGGTGGGAGATAGCAGTGCCTCAAAAGAGCAGTGTAAAGAAAACACCAGTAACAACCTGGACACAAGTCTTGAGAGTATGCCAGCCTCCGGAGAACCTGAACCATCTTCTGTTCTAGACTGTGTTTCAGCTCAAATGATGTCTTTATCAGAACCTCAAGAACATCGTTATACTCTGAGAACCTCACCACGAAGGGCAGCCCCTACCAGAGGTAGTCCTACTAAAAACAGATCTCCTTACAGAGAAAATGGACAATTTGAGGAGAATAATCTTAGTCCTAATGAAACAAATGCAACTGTTAGTGATAACGTAAGTCAGTCTCCCACAAATCCTGGTGAAATTTCTCAAAATGAAAAAGGGATATGTTGTGACTCTCAAAATTGTGGAAGTGAAGGACTAAGTAAACTGCCCTCAGAGGCAAGACTCAATATTGGACATTTGCCATCTGCCAAAGAGAGTGCCAGTCAGCATATTACAGAAGAGGAAGATGATGATCCTGATGTTTATTACTTTGAATCAGATCATGTGGCACTGAAACACAACAAAGAGTATGTGTAAATATGGTAACCATGAATTCTGCTTTGTTTATTATTCCCCAAGTTTTTCAGTATCTATTCATAAATGTCTATTCATAGTGTTTTTATTACAGCTAAAATTAATGTTTTCACTAAAATTTTAGGTTTAACATGATTTTCTCAACTCTTAGAAAAACTCCAAAAAAAGACTTTTAAACTCAACTTTACACATGTGTTCTATGACAGCATGGTCTTTCCAGTTCTGATATTTCTTGTCTCAATTAGAAAAGACATGGTTGGTAGTGTTTTTGTTGTTTTAATATGTTTTATATCATTTTTAGTTAATTTATAAAATGGAAACACATCGAGTTACCACAGTATGCTTTGATTTATAATTCTAGGTAGCATAGAACAATTAATGAGTGCTTAGATATCATCCAGATATGTGAAGTCTAGCAGGCTTGATATCTACTTATATCTTACTTACATTTAATTCCCAATTAAAATTTTTTATTAAAAAAGTGCTTTATGCATCATCTTTGACTTTTGTGACTTAGAGAAGTGGATATTACTGTTAACACTATGACAGTATATTGTAATTAACATATTAGCAAGAGTTAGTCTACTGGATAGTTTACATAAAACATTTGACGTAGCTTTTCCTGATACTAAATATAAAGGAAGACTGTATCTTAAAATATTACCAGCTCTCAACCTTGCTAAGTCACTGTTTTAAATAAAGAATTCTGTATCCAAAATTTTCACAATATTACTTGCTTAGATTTTCTATATTCGGGGCCGTAACACAAAAGATTTGGAGCTTACTATGTCTAGATAATCCTGAAAGGAACTATAGCACACAGTGCTCTTAAATATCATGATTAGCAACAGTAAAGACAGACTTATGTAATAAGTTAATTACCTTTACTCCTACAGGGTAGGCTTTTGAATTAATACCACAATCAGATTATATAGACTGTATATAAATACTTTGATTTGAGGAACATTTCTAATAGTTTTGTTGTGACAATTGCCAGACCCTGGTATGTGTCAGATCAAAGTATCAAATCCTGGTTGTGAGGACATAATATTATTTTTGCCATGCATTGTAGATAGTTTAGATTTGTATATGGTAATACAGTGATCTTTCAGCGTAGGCCTCTCTTCTGAAAAGTTTTCTTCTGTTCTTTTGAAATACTATTTTAATATTGTATTTGATAGTTCATGTCATCTGAGCATTTTACAATTTTGTGAAAATGTTAGAGTCTCGAGTATTTGGAATACTTGAAGTCTAATTTTAGATAGCAGAACAACTCATAAATGAGGTTTTTTTTGTATTAGAAATAAGTTGAGTTCTGCTGTTCATGTATACTAACAGTTTTTTTTTTTTTTTTTGGTTTTGTTTTTTTTTGAGACAGCATCTCGCTCCATCGCCCAGGCTGGAGTACAGAGGTGCAATCATGGTTCACTGCAACCTTGGCTTCCCTGGGCTCAAGCAATCCTCCCTTCTCAGCCTCCCAAGTAGCTGGGACTACAGGCGCATGCCACCACGCCTGGCTAATATTTTTTTGTATTTTGTAGAGGCAGGGTTTCGCCATGGTGCCCAGGCGAGTCTTAATCTCCTGGGCTCGATTGATCCTCGCACCTCAGCCTCCCAAAGTATTGGGTGTAGGCATGAGCCACTGCACCTGGCCTAGTATCAGTTTTTAAAGGTAGACCTGTTTATCTGCAGTGCAGGGAAGGAGAGCATATGTCTTAGGAAAATACCAAAAACTAAAGAAATGTGAATTTTTATAAAATGATATATGTTCTGTTCTTTGCTTTTTATTGTTTTAATCTTGACTGGTTATTGATTGTGGAAATTTTTTTTTCTAGTAATTCACTACAGTATTACTTTTTGTAAGAGATTGCCTGATAATAATTCTGAAGGATGATGTTCACATAAAACAGTTATCTAAAGATACAGTCATAACATTGATATTCCACATTCATAACCTTTTGAGGATGAGAACAATACAGCTTAATGGGTGCTTTTATACATTTAATATAGTGTGCTTTTATATGTTTATTTTTCATGCGTTCCTTAAGATATAGAGAGTCCTTTGGAATTTGGATGCTAGTTGCTTTGTTAGGACAGTGTTTTCAAATTAATGCTTCATTGGGTGACATTGGGAAAACAAATTACTGATTCTTGCTTTTTTGCCTTGCTCCAGATCATTTGAAGGATAGCACTTTTTTTTTTTTTTTTTTTTTTTTTAAATCAACCGGGCTGGAGTGCAGTGGCACAGTCATGGCTCACCACAGCTTTGACCTCTCAGGCTTAGGTTGTCCTTCCACCTCAGCCTTCCGAGTTGCTGGGGCTTACAGGTGCACGCCATCACACCTGTCTAATTTTTTGTAATTTTAGTTGAGACAGGGGTTGGCCATGTTGTCCAGGCTGAGCTTGAACTCCTGGGCTCAAGTGATCTGCCCGCCTTGGCCTCCCAAAGTGCTGGGATTACAGGCACGAACCACTGCACCAGGCCAGGATAGCACTTTTGAAACTTTATCTTTTTTGTTTTTTTCAAAGGAAGCAAATCAGAAGTGAGATGGAGTATCATGATTAGCATCTCAGAGCTAATTTAAGGAAAATTGGGGGAGGGTGTTTGATCATGTCAGATCTAATCTCTTTCAGTAAAGTCTCTCTTTCCTCCCCTATACCTTCATTCCTATGCTTTTTGTCTAGAGCCAAGAGATGATTGGATATAATATTGGCTCTTTTTAATCCAAGTTGCCATTGCTAAAAATAGCATCATGACATCTGTCTAGTGCTTTCAAGTCTCAAGTAAATTTCTGGCAGTTTGAAAATGATGTTAAAAAGCACTTGGGTTTAAAAAAAGGCACTTGAAGGAGATGGTTTATTACTGTCCTGTACACATGTGTACATACCTTGTCAAATGTTACTTCACTTCCTTATTCTCCCTATGCTAGAAAAGTTCTCCAGGTAATTGCTTTTTGAAACCGAGGTTGAGCATTGCCCAGCCTAAATATGAATATCTCTACCAGTAGGGAATGAATACTTCCTGATAGCCAGTTTTAAAAGTAGGTTGTTAACAGAAAATTCTGAGCATGGCATAGTTGTTTGTCAAGAGCCAGGGGGACATAACTCTGTGTTACTCTAGTTGAAATTTTTCTTCTAAGCTAACAGTGATCAACGGCCTTCTATCCTAGTGTTCAGCTTATAGTTACTCTGTCTTGTGTGCAAAGATATCCCATATAAGGTCATCTGATCACTTGTAAATGTTTGCAAAAGTATTGTGTAGAGTCTTAGTCTTAGATGTAATTTATGATAAGTTAGGCAACAGACCAGGGAAACAAATCTGTGGATGTTCCGGGTACTAGCTTGATGCCTGTCTAGATGCCATCCCTCTTCTCTAGCGCATAAATCCACAGTGTTCTTTTATATATTTTTCCAAATGGAGTACCCCACTGTGAGAAAGGGACCAGAGAATATCTTTTTCTCTGGCAAGATTCCATCTGTGGATTATTTTATTAGACATGACTTCTGAAAGATTAGGGGTGGAGGATCAAAAGAAATATTCTTTATCTGAAAGCTCTTTGATCTTCAGGGTTGATAGAATCTGTTAAAGTGGTAGATAATACAGTACCTAATAACTTCTTTTTTGGCTTAAATAGCCTCCCTGAATGAGATTATTTACGTAACTGTGATTGCCCTTTCTGTTTGGGAATTGACCTCTTGCTAATTTTTGAAACGGGAGCACTGAAACAGATCTCTAAATTTTGAAGGTCTGGCTCCAGGAAGCACAAGTGTGGAAGATTTTAGGTCTTAGGCTTTAATGTTCAGAGCATTTCTTCCAATTCAAAATGTAATCACTGGAAAATAAACTTCTAAATGAAAATGTGATTTGGTCAGCTGCCTCTGAATTATCATTGTGCAACATTACTTAAATAAATTTATGTTTGAAAGACCTTGGGTATCTTCATTTAAGGATTGTTGGTATTACAGCATTTCATGAACAGATAAGGGGGTGAAAAGTCAAATTTAGGGATTCTAGATTCTTGAGATCTTACAAAGATTAACTTACTGATAATGGATTGCTAACATTTATACCAGTTCTTAAGTTTCTTCGTAATGAACCTGTAAGATAGTTATCGCTCATCTAAGAGTGTTGCTCAGGTACTCTGCAGGTGAGAGTATTATTTTCAAGCCACATTGAAGAGTTTCTAAGAATTGTAGTGTTAAACTTGGTTTTTGGAAAATGTTAGTGATAGTAAATAATTATGTCCTTCTATTGCACCATGCTTATTTCATAGTTGATTAAACAAACATTTGATATTTTCATCAATTTTGGAAGCTGCATAGAGAAAATCTTAATCAGTTCTTGGAGATTTACTTATTGAGAGTCTACTTTTACTGTTGGTCAAAGTAATTTCTTTCAAGGGACCAGAAAAACTCCAGAATCTTGCTTAAAAATCACTAGAGGAGTCATCCTGCCCTGAATAAGATTACATTTGTATTGTGCTTCGTAATTTACAAATCAGTTTCATTAGTTTCTCATTTGACTATCATGACAGTTTGAAAGTAGACAGGATAGGTACCGTTATACAGTCCCCATTTCCTAACTCGTAATTAAGATTTCTAGATTATTAATTTTAAGTAGCATAATGAATTACTAAATAGGATCAAACTTCTATCTTTTAATTACTAGTTTGAACTATACTTGGTTACCTCATCCAGTGAGAACTTATTTCATGGACTTTTGGGTTTGTTTCTATGTTGAGAAACCTCATGGAGCAGATCTTGGGGACTCAGTTGTCAGGAATTGTTTACCCTGAGGTTAAGCTCTGTTATTGATTATCTGATTATCTGATTTTTATTTGTTACAGAACCAGCATTATAGGTAAGTAATTTACTTTATTTATTGAAAGAAATACTTTCATGTTCACTATTTTAAAGAACATCTTATTTGTGAAGAATAGACTGGTGAAATAAAACTGTGGCTATAGCTTGATTTCAAATAGAGGATTTGGAT